TTTAAGAACTTAATATTGTAACCCAGAAGCAATGCAACAATAGCGGAAGACTTGCTGTTTGAGGCAGCAGCAGACCCAGCGGCCCACACCAGAGCAGTGCAAACTGCTTCCTACCACAGTTGCAGTCCTACTCAGATTGGTCTTGTAGTTAGGTGTAAAAAAGAAATAACAGTATTTATTCCAGCTGTGGAAAAAAAAATATAAATTTATGACTTGTGCCGGGCGCCGGTGGCTCACACCTGTAATCCTAGCTACTCAGGAGGCTGAGATCTGAGGATCGTGGTTCAAAGCCAGCCTGGTCAGGAAAGTTGGTGAAACTCTTATCTCCAATAAACCACTAGAAAACTGGAAGTGGCGCTGTAGCTCAAGTGGTAGAGCACTCGCTTTGAGCTGAAGAGCTGAGGGACAGTGCTCAGGCCCAGAGTTCAAGCCCCACGACTGACAAAAGAAAAAAAAATTATGACTTGTGAAAAAGGCTATCATTGTGACAAATAGGCATGGATATACAAACATAAAAATTCTGCCCAGGGGCTGGCAAGGTGGCTCAGTGGAAGAGTGCCTGCCTTGCATGCATGAGGCCCTGGGTTCGACTCCTCAGCCAAAGTGATGCTCAAGTGGTAGAGTGCTAGTAGCTTGACCTGAAGAGCTGAGGGACAGCACCCAGGCGGAGTTCAGCCCCCATGACCAACAACAACAACACAAAAAATTCTGCCCAATAAAATGTAAAAAAGCAGTACTAATACATTTTAATCCAGATGTGGACAAAGTACAGCCTGCCTGTTTTTAGATAGTCTACAAGTGAAGAAATGATTTAACACTCAAAAATAGACAGAGAGGCAGAGACAGAGACAGAGAGAGAACAGAAGAAAAATAAGCTAAAAATGAGCTGGGTGCCAGTGGTAGCACCTTTAATCCTAGCTACTTAGAAAGGTAAGATCTGAGGATTGTGGTTTGAAGCCAGGCAGACAAATCCATGAGACTCTTATCTCTAACCAGCAAAAGACTGGAAGTAGAGGCATGGCTCAAATAGTAAAGTGCTGGCTATGAACAAAAAAATTTATAACAAGAGCAGGTTGTTCTAAATTTAAACCTTTGGCCGGACACTGGTGGCTCACACCTATAACCCTAGCAACTCAAGAGGCTGAGATCTGAGGATCACAGTTAAAAGCTAGCTAGGGCAGCAAAGACTCATCTCCAATTAACTACCAGAAAACTGGAAGTGGAATGGTGGCTCAAGTGGTAGAGCAGCAGCCTTGATCTGAAGAGCTCAGGGACAGCGCCCAAGCCTAGAGTTAAGGCAGCACAACTGACAAAATAATAATAATATAATAATAATAATGTTTGCCAACGTTGGTGGACGGGAAGACTTAAAACATCATCATTTTCCAAACTAATATACAAATTCAATATTATCTCAACCAGAATCCCAGTGGGCGTCTTTGTAGAAACTGACAAACTGATTCTACAACTGATATGAAAATGCAGGGGGCTCTACATCGCTGAATAATCCTGAAAAGGACCAAGTTTGAGAACTCACATTTTATTAACTGAAACTGGTACAAATTTCAGTAATCAAGACTGTATAGTACTGGCATAGGATTGACATACATTATCAGTGGACTATGATCAGGAACACAAAAATAAATCTATGTACTATGGACAATTAGTTTTCAACAAGAGACCAATGTAATTGCTAGTCTTCACACAGGGAGGCTAGCAACCCCCCTCCCCCAATATAAGAAACACCCTTATTCATATAGCCTCATAGGATACATGCGGCTCTCTTCAAGTCTTTACTCAAAAGCCATCATCTTAGTGGACATTCCCTGAACATCCTGTCCAAAACATCAATACTGACACTTCCTAGTGCCTTTCCCTGCTTTGCTGATCCTTTTCATGTTTTATTAACATGTTTACTTATTTTATTTATTATGTATTTTATTTATCTATCTTGCTTACTATCCACAACCCTCCTTAGGATGAAAGCTTCATGAGGGCATAGCTTTGTCCCTGCACAGCCCTGCTCTAGAACAGTAGGGATGAATAACTACAAGCAGAGGAAAATGAGATGAGACTCTGAAGATGAATGAGAAAGTGTCAAAGGCAAATGTCAATTGCTTCTTTCCTTTTTCTTTTTTTGCCAGTCCTGGGACTTGAATTCAGGGCCTGAGCGCTCTCTGTACTTGAGCTTCTTTTTTGCTCAAGGCTAGCACCCTACAGCTTGAGCCACGGCACCACTTCTGGCTTTTTCTGTTTATGTGTTATTAAGGAATTGAACCCAGGGCTTCATGCATGCTAGGCAAGCACTCTACCACTAAACCAAATTCCCAGCCCCTCAATTGCTGCTTTTCTTTTCATGGGTTGTGGGGCTTGAACTCTGGCCTGGGTGCTGTCTCTCAGCTCTTCAGCTCAAGGCTAGCACTCTACCACTTGAGCCACAGTGCCACTTCTGGTTTTCTGGTGGTTTATTGAAGATAAGAGTCTCATGGACGTTCCTGCCTCAAGCCTCAGTCTCCTGAGTAGCTAGGATTACAGGCATTAGCCACCAGTTCCCTGCTCTCAATTACTTCTTAATGACTACTAGGCCTTCCAAGCATGCCAGGCTTGATGAGCTAGCCAACCCCAGAACTGCATCCTACATCTTGAGCAGAGAGCAGGCGCTCAGCTATTTCAACAGAAGCCCACGCATATGGTACTACAGTTCTATGCAACAGAACAAAAGCCATAAAAATAGAACAGACGCTTTCTAAACTGCTTTGGCCAGTCTTGCTTTTGGAAAAAGGGCTTTTCAGCTGAAACATTCAAACAAAATGCCAAGATCTAAACTTACAAACAGTGAGTTACTTGTGATTAATGAACACCTATTTCCTCAACAGCAAACTACACAGAAACATACATATGTATAAAATAAATGCATATACATGTATTCATCTTAAAATAACAAAATGCAAATTTTTATAATCAAGTAGATATTTATGCATTTTAAAGTAACTATAATCAGTGCCTGCAATCCTAGTTACTCAGGAGGCAGAGATCTTAGGATCACAGTTCAAAGCCAAGCCTGACAGAAAGGTCCAAGAGATTATCTCCAATTAAACAGTATAAATGTCAGACTGGAGGCAGGGCTCATGTAGTAGAGTGCCAAGCCATGAGCAAAAAAGCCAAGCAGATCACAAAGCCCTGAGTTCCAGTCCCATACCAGCACAAAAAATATACATCTTAATATACATATGCACAGATTATATCCAGAAAAATGTGCAAGTACAGCATCTGCACTAGAAACAGAGCTAGGTACTCTGTCATTGTCCTTACCCTTTTCTAAGTTAGGAATAATTAGTGTATTACTTGTACCTGTCCACAGCCCTGTTTAATGTTTACAGGAGACACAAGCAATGCGGGACCACTCCTACTCAGAGAAGCTCTACTATGACTCTGGGTGCGCTGACTAGAGATAAGTCAAAATGTACTTTTAATTCCTCTAGTTGTTGAAACACGTTCTCCACATTTTAGAAGAAACAGACAGTCTAAATTTTAGTCTATCAACTCAGCCACCACTTCCCAGGTCATTAGCTTCTAGTTACACTAGGAAACCAGGACTGTATCAGAATCATAAACAAGCCCGGTGGCACTTCAGAGACGATTCCGGAGGCCTCCCCTGAACCATGGACAGCGGGAGCAGGCCTCCCCTGAACCGCGGACAGCGGGAGCAGGCCTCCCCTGAACCGCGGACAGCGGGAGCAGGCCTCCCCTGAACCGCGG